TTTCCCCCCCCCCCCCCCCCCCTCCTCCTCCAAAAAAAAGTCAACTCCCGCCTTGTGGACACCCCACTTTAACAGCCGAACACCCAACCTCGTCCCCAGGGCGCTTTTCCCTGGCTTTGGGGGCCAAAGCCAGGGAAAAGCGCCCTGGGGACGAGGTTGCCGAACACCCCGATAACTACGGACAGCAGCTAAATCCCACGATAAAGTAAATTACAGACATTTGACTGAAATAAACTCTTGCTATTACGGACTCAAGCTAACGAGAACACTAATTAAGGTCCCTACAGTGCCCGCTTTAAAGAAAATTGACTGTACAGTGGAACCCCGCCATACGACCACCCCGTTATTACGACCACTTTTTTGTGGACTCAACAAAAGCCCACTTAGTTTCTTATCTGAAAAACCCGAATCCGACCACCCCGTTAGTACGACCAACGACCACCTTTGGGAGTCCTGAGTCATTATTTTCTTTATAAAATTACCCCGTTAATACGAACAGACAAAATGCTTGGTGGGGCTCCTGAATGAAAACAGACACAATCTGACAAACATTATTGCATTACTACTATGAATGTTTTTAGGCAAAGGTTTTAGTGGTTAGCATTACATCCGCTAAATTGCAGTGTTCAGTAGAAAGGATGCATGAATAAATAATAAAAAAGGTCTGAAAGACTTCACTTTGCAGCATTTCGAGGCTCTCAAAGTTATTTTGCCTTCTTGTTTCTGCTGCCTTCCACTGTTGCTTTTCTCTTCGAGTCCATTTCCTGTTCTTTTCTCACAGATCGGTTATTTGGAATGTCTAATAATTTGTTAAGCATATCAACCTTTCTGGGCTGTCCAGTAAACTTGTAAACGTATGGGATTTCCATCTCGTACCCTCCCCCACATTTCACAAGCCCCTTCCGTTCATAACAAGGAACTGAAAGAATTAGTCAGCGTTTTTTCTCATTACTCGGTTTCGTTTACTGTTACATTGTCCACTTGCATTGAATTTCGGCTGTAAGGTTGTTAATTAACTGCTCAGGTAAATTAAGGCATGGGTCTCCAATGATTCTGTAAAAAAGTGATTGGGGGTGGTCTATCTCTGAGCACGTAAGCTGTAGAAAGATGAGTCTTTGCCAGATACATACATATGTCGTTTCTGTCAATTAGGTGATGTTCAATTATGCAAATGTTGTCACGTGACTCCACATGGCCAGAAAACAATAAAAAGTCTTTAAACAAAAATGGCAACACTTTTTGTTTTGAGTTATTAAACCGGACTGGTTTAGGACAATGTGTAATGCAAGAATCTACAAGACTGTGCTTGGCCTTTTTTGAATTTTTTGCTGTTTTAGAAAATAAATGGCCTTTTCAACTAGACCCAGTCCCCCAAAGCAATAAATATCTAAAAAAGGCCAAGCACAGAAGTGATACATTAAACGGCATTAACATTATGCAACCGGTAAAATAATTGAAGACACATGAAAAAGTGTTGCCGTTTGAAAAACAAGCTTTTTCAGCCGATGGAGGTCACGTGACCTAATTTGCATAATTTTAAAGCACAAAATTGACACAAACTAAAAATGTGGTTAGCTGGCAAAGTTTTATGTCTCTTCATCTAAAGCTCTTAGATATAGACCACCCCCTCACTTTTGAAGAGAGCAAATTAAGGCAAATTGAGGCCCATGCCTTAATTTACCTGAGTGCAAAAAGGTTGATTTATAGCGGATTAAAGTCATACATACAGTAGAATGTAGTTTAAAAGCATTTTGCACCATAATCTGACCCTACCCCGTTAATACGATCACCCCGTTAATACGACCGAATTTCCATGCCCCGAAGGTGGTCGTATTAACGGGGTTCCACTGTATAGGCCATTTGAGAATTCCATAAAACTTTCACTTATAAAGACTTCGTAGATGAGCTCCGTTTGAAACAGCAGCTATGGTAGGCATGCTTCTATCTAGCCAAAAATAGGCCCTGTTGATTGCATGCATTGTTAGAAGTGGCTCAGCACTGAGTCCAATCCTTGCGTGACATGTTTCTTTCACAGGTGTTACAAACACGTTTGGATAGTGGATTGGACGATTGAGTCTGCTAAACTTTTGTTTGCTTCCTTCATTGTCTCCTGTCATCCAATTGTAGGTTCCACTTTTCCTTGCCACTCANGAAAAAGTGTTGCCGTTTGAAAAACAAGCTTTTTCAGCCGATGGAGGTCACGTGACCTAATTTGCATAATTTTAAAGCACAAAATTGACACAAACTAAAAATGTGGTTAGCTGGCAAAGTTTTATGTCTCTTCATCTAAAGCTCTTAGATATAGACCACCCCCTCACTTTTGAAGAGAGCAAATTAAGGCAAATTGAGGCCCATGCCTTAATTTACCTGAGTGCAAAAAGGTTGATTTATAGCGGATTAAAGTCATACATATAGTAGAATGTAGTTTAAAAGCATTTTGCACCATAATCTGACCCTACCCCGTTAATACGATCACCCCGTTAATACGACCGAATTTCCATGCCCCGAAGGTGGTCGTATTAACGGGGTTCCACTGTATAGGCCATTTGAGAATTCCATAAAACTTTCACTTATAAAGACTTCGTAGATGAGCTCCGTTTGAAACAGCAGCTATGGTAGGCATGCTTCTATCTAGCCAAAAATAGGCCCTGTTGATTGCATGCATTGTTAGAAGTGGCTCAGCACTGAGTCCAATCCTTGCGTGACATGTTTCTTTCACAGGTGTTACAAACACGTTTGGATAGTGGATTGGACGATTGAGTCTGCTAAACTTTTGTTTGCTTCCTTCATTGTCTCCTGTCATCCAATTGTAGGTTCCACTTTTCCTTGCCACTCAAGATTCGCCTTCCCAAGGAGTATGGCGCCAGCCACACGGTGGTGTTCAATTCCAAGCTGGTGTCTGGTGTCTGCATCCGTAACGTGGCCAGCTCGCCGTATAACATAATGTCCTGTGGTATATGGCCGTCCACTATTCGTTGCACGTGATCCACATATCGCAAGCGATGCTAGCTCAAAAAGCCCGCTTCCCGGCTCTATACAGCAGTATTGATAAGAATTAAAAGAAATCTATTTAACTATACTCGATTTTCACACTTAGCCTAGCTTAAATAAAGGCTATTGGTAACTCGCAAATGACCATTTAATGATTGTAACAGTGAAGACAGCAAGGAAGGGTTACTTGGGCTAATTTTTGCTAGGTATGTGCCGCTGGCCTCTCAGAGCCCCTACTTCATTATAGTCTATTTTGTGGTCAATTATAGAACCCATCTTAGTCACTTTTTGGAAACTATGTAATTTTCGCGATCCCAACTTAGTCACTTTCTATTTTTATGACGGAATTGACCAAATTTTTAGATTGAATGAAGAACACTTTACTTTTCATCCACAGTACAAACATTCTGGTACGTTGTCTAACCGTAAATATGAAGAACTGCCTTACCCCAAAAAATCTGAAAATGTGCGACCCTATTCTAGTAACTCTATTGAAAATGCGACCCTGTTATAGTCAATCCAATCGTGAAAATGCGTCCCCATCCAGCGGCACATCCTCATTAGCCTCTTATAAGAAAGTACCCCCCCCCGGCCGGTTAGTACCCCATGCAAGTATTGCCGACCAGCGCGCTCATAACTGCAGGCGCAACTTTCTGCCGCAGTAGAATCAAAAGTACATGAATTTACGATCCCTAACTTATTACCTGCTAGCCGCGGGGAACATTTAAAAACCTCTCTAAAACAAAGTTCATGTCTTGTTCCATGGCTCCGCTCATCCAAATGGAAATTCTCATTCTGGACGACGTTGGTGCGCTGACGTAACCACTTCTTAAGCGCAGATCTTTTGCTGATCTTTTTCTCGTTGGACAAAAATTTGTAACCAACTACCTCGAGATTACAGCTTGAAAAATCTTGTGGAGAAAAAACACTCTGTTCTTTGTAATCCTTAGGCAGGAAGTGCAAACAAACCTTGGAGCCGTCCGGTGTACTCGGCAGCCTGTTGGAACCCTTAAAGCTTTCAAGGGTGCGATAGTTAGTTTCGCTTTGTTCTTTCACTATTCGTGAAAAATTAACGCACTTTTTCTGTCCCCTAGGGTCTTTCTTTCGCTCTTTAGTCTTATTCTTAGCTGTTCTTGGTAGCCAAGTGTAAACACAATGGATAACTTGACCGACAATGGATGACGCAGAGTTCATACCGATTCATGACAGAAAGAAACCCCTCAAAAGACTTTGGTTTACCTGATCGTGACAGCGCAATGTTTGACAGGGTTAGTTTCTATGACATCACTGTAAGTAAACCGCGCGCAACAAGCTTTGTTAACCAGCAGTGGAAACTTACGTCATCATAAATCTTACCATAGAATGCTCACACAATTGTTTGTTTGCTTTGTTGCTGCGAGCTCCAACTGGAGCAGTGCACTCTTATTTTGATCGTCCGGTCGTTCCTTGGGTGTCCTGTCGCTATTTAGGTGTTACGATCTGGATTTTTGTTTGTCAGTATGTTTTTTTGTTTTGCACAATTTTTGGTATAATTCATTATTACGAGCAAAATTTTAAACTTTTTGCCGAAAAAGGCACTGCTGGGATAATTTGCTCGTTTGGCTCCTGGGTTTTGGAACGCCTCCACTTTTTCACTCGGTTTTGTATATAATTTGCAGCTAACCGGCTATACACAGCAAAAAAACACGGCCTTATCAAGATTTTTCTTCCAACCCCCCCCGCCTCCCCCCCCCACCCCTCTGTCCAGTGGGGAGGGGGTCAACTTGAATTGCATTTTCCTCTCCTGGATTGCAGTATTGTAGTACAAAATTGTCATTTATTAATCATCGAACCTTTATTTTGGCCTGAGATCAATGTCACAGGCAAATATAAGTAACAAAACCAATTTTTTTGTCTGCTTATTGTCACATTCGTGACCTGGGTCCCGGGTGACCCAGGACTCTTTCCACAGGCATAACTAGCTCGGTTACCCGAGATGTAGCCTGCGAGAACTGCTCTCCGGTGCACTCTGGCGGCGGCACGGAAAAAGTAAGGAGAGCTTGCAACTACGTCTCTGGGATTTGAATATCTGCATCAAAAAAGCCGACGCTAAATGCTGATTGGCAGAGAATTTTCTTATTTGCAATAATGACATCAAAATACAAGAACAAAGAAACAACACACTAAAGGGGAAAGGAAAAAAACGTAAATGGAAATTATTTACATCACGATAGTTATTCTAATTTACAATAACATTGATTACAATTTACATTATTAGCCTAATTACACAACGGAATTGGAGGTGGAATTAAAATTCCAGAGACGTAGTTGCAAGTTGCAAGCTCTCTTTCTTTTCCTGCCCAGCCGCCAGAGTACCCCTGAGAGCTTGCCAGGCTACCCGTACGGAATCCGAGGTGGAGTCAGTGTTAATAGGCCCTTTTGCATGGCAGTGATCACGTCATCAACTTTCGATAAACTCGAAAACAGTTCATTTTTGAAAGATTATGTTAACACTGAGCTGAAAGAGCATGTATATGGAAAGTACTTTAATTTGTAAATCATTCATCCAGTAGTTTTGCGAATCAAACTGGTGTTTCTAAGATGTCGTATAAGTACCGAGTCGACTGTTTTGGTTCACTCCGGTTATCTCTTGTTGCTGTTGAAGTGAAAGTCTAAAAATATAACAAAACACTTAAGGTCAGGTTCCTCGAGTCCTGATGTTTCTCTCGACTTCGTCTCGGCAAACATCAGGACTCTTGGGAAAACAAAACTAACTGTTTCCCTCGGGATCTGACATTAAGTGTATACTAAACTACTTCAGTTATAAGTAACAAATACAAGAAAATAAGAATTCGTAAAAAAAACACCTATGAAAAGACTTGCTCTAAAAGTTGCCCTCTTATAGCTTGCTTGAAAGACTGCAAGGAAACTCATTGCTTTTTTTTATTTATTTAAATTGTTCCAAATACTAGTTCCTCTATATGCGAATGTGCGTTGGGCAGAAGCAGTTCTAGGGGCATGGGCATGGATGCTGGAACGTTTAGTAAGTTTACCTACCAGATGTTTAGGTGCGAGGCCCTCGAAACATTTGTAAGTTAACACAGAGTCCCTATAATACAATAATTATTTGACAGGAAGCCAGAAGTTGGCGGAGTAAAGGGGTCACGTGGTCAAATTTCCTAGAATTCGTTACAATTTTGCTTGCAAAGTTCTGAATTGACTGTAATTTGTTTATGTTCTTAGTTAAAGTATTGGACCAGACGGTTGAACAATAAAGCATTCTGCTAAAAACTAAAGATGTAATTAACAGCTTTAGTGTCTCTTTGCCAAAGCTTTCTTTAACTCTACGATTTGAGATAGTTTAGAAAAGCAGGAAGCAGGGGCGGATCCAGGATTTTTCTTAGGAGGGGGTGCACCCGTCTCCTGCTCTACTTCAACACCAATAAACCACATAGTTTTTTTTTTTGCAGAATACCAGTTGTATTAGAAAACCGCAGGTCATCTCGGGGGGGGGGGGGGGGGGCCCCCCCC